CTGAGCAGATATTTGAGGTTTACACAGCTACATTCTCGCCTGAAAATATGTTAAACGTTTATTTTGTGACCCAGAAAGAATAATAAGAGTAATATTAAAACTAACTAGCTGCCGCCATTGAAACTGAGCTATGAATTCTGGGACACAGCTTCTTCTTCTTCTTCTGGGTTTAACGGCAGCTGGCATCCTTGTACATGCAGTGCTGCCATCTTCTGTTTCAGTCCATTATTACACTCTTAAACCCTACTACTTATTCCTGCGTCTTTTGGGATCTTACAAAGCTTCAAACGACGCGTCGACTATTAAATTAGTCGTCGACGATTTTGATAGTCGACGTAATCGTGACTAGTCGACTAATCGTGGCAGCCCTAAATCCAAGCTGAGTGAGTGGCGTGCTTACGGTGTTCTCTCGCTTCATTAGTGGTGCCGCACGGGAGCAGTAAGCAGAGAAATTAAAGGGCTCCTGGTGTACAACCTCAATCCCACATTGTTACTTCTGCACAGTTATATTAGACTACATTTACTCCAAGAATTAATCTGTTGTGAAATCTAAACTAATGTATTTTGAGAACTTTAAGCCAAGAGTCCAGTCTGGATTTTTTCCCCCACCATCACTTCAAAAGATCCTTCGTGAGAAACTTCAATGTCCACTATAGACATTATCATGTTAAAAATGCAACATCTCAACCTTCCACGTAAGCACCCTGCGGTGAGAGTGAATCAGTACTCACAGTGATGGTCGATTAACGCCGTTGCTGGCCTTCATGGGCTGAGTAAGAATAGGCTTTGATTGACTCTGAGCAGCAGATGTATTCTGGACTGCGCCCAAAGGTTTGTTCATAAGTGTTTTTTTCAGCGCATCCTTGGACTGAGCAGGACGCACAGCAGCAGCAGGTGCAGCGATTGTGTTGGCTGAAAGGATTGGAGACACTCCAGTGACATTTGCTACTTGAACAGGTGGGAGAGAGCCGTTCGGAAGAGCTCCTGCACACAAAGATCCGCAATTAAACTGGATAAAAATACACAGTTAAACACATTTCGTCAGTTTAAGCCTAATATACAAGTGATACTCTCTGTGGATAATACACAGGTGGGCTACAAGAACAAAAGACTTATTTCCACAACTGCGTGGAGTGAGAAACTCACCTGGTCGATCGTTTAACTTAGACAGCACTTCTAGTGCTTTTTTAACCGTCCCATGAATTATTAAAGCATTTGAGCTCTGCTCTCGAGTAAAACCGAACTCCTGAAGCAAAACAGAAACACACAGTAAGAAGCACATTCAAAAAAAGGCTCAGTCTTCATTTTCCCAACCTTCCCTCACAGCTGAAACCTCGAGCTGCAGGCCATTTTTCTCATCTCAACTATGAACATGTTAGCACTGTTTCTGGTTGGATTCAAGTACACAATGTAGTTACATGCATGTAGTGTGACTGCACCACTAAGCGCAGCTGCTACATACCATTAGCTGTGTTATCTGCACACGCATCAGCTCCTGCGCAGCTTCTGCACACGAACTGTCCAGTTTGAGAACTTCCGTGAAGGCCAGGGCAGCTTCCTCATACCTCTGAAACATTACGGACAGCAAGAACTTCAATTCAAAGTAAACCTGGGTTCAGATCAATTTGTTGCTTCACTAATTGGCCTAATTGCTGTCAGAACACTGAGTCAGAAAAAGTCTAATGCTTCTTTCTCAATAGTATCTACTCGACTCGACTGTTTCAGTTGCTCTCTGTTACAGTTGAGGATCACCTCAATGTGTGTGGGGTTGTTATAGCAACACGGCTGATGTCATCTGTATGTGAGGCGATAGTATACGGCTTTTTAAATGGACTTTGTGGAGCCATTTCCCTCATTGACAGGTTTCAGAACTGGCGCTCTCATGACTCATCAAGTGACGTGACTGACTGGCCCATCAGTGGCACGCGGTCTCTTCAGGTCACATTCTCAGATTGACTCAGCTCACTTGGCCACCTGGGGACACCCCGACTGAGTAGGAAAAAAAAGTTCCTGGTTCCAGGTATTACTACGTAATGGAAAACCCTGAAAACTGAGTTGAACTGAGCCGAGTTGGTCTTAGGGGAAAATAATGTGAACCTGTGCAACAACTGCAGTGATGCTGCAAACAAGGCGACATTGTCAAAGTCGCTGTAACCTGAACTGTAAACATTACAACCGCTGACGGGTCACAGCCAGTATGTGCCGCTACACAGCCGACTGCAGCTGCATCAACAAGTTAAGACTAAGCTAACTTCCCTGTGACCAGCACTCAAATGTATGTCCCTTTATAATGTTTCTCATTGGTTGGAAAAATGTGTTGCTACTTTGGTTAAAGAGTGCTTTGTAACAAAGGACACTGTTGCACAAGAGTCTGCTCTTAAAATCAGAAACACACAGCATATTAAACATGACATGTGAGGGTTGTTAAGATTAGATAAAAGCTTTATTTTTACCTTTAGACCAGCCAGAGCTCTTCCCTTCCTATACAGGCCTTTATCCCAACCTGGACATATGCCAAGCGACAACTCTGCATCCATTAACGCCTTCTCGTATTCTTGCAACTTCTCAAAACAGAAGGACCGATTTCCAAATAGCCTGCGACAGATGCAAAGATGGCATTAAAGCTAGTGGTGCAAGTGAAATCACTGCTGTTACTTAAAGTTAGGTAAACAGGCATGTTCTTACTTAAACTCTTTAGGGTTGTGCTTAATTGCATCTGTGAAATACTTCACAGCCATATTAAAGTCTCCAGCACTCGCATGCTTATTTCCAATGACTAGGGGGGAAAAAAAATAAAGATAAATATTTATTTTACGTATTCTTTAAAAGTCAAATCACCTCACTGAGAATTTATGTGAATGAATAATGACAAAACTTACCGGCAAGCTCTGTGCTTATTTTTACATGGTCTTCAAAGGAGGGAACCCTGGACGCAGCAGAGTCCTGCGTAGACAGCAAGAACAGAGTTTCAACCTTTAACGTGCACCAAAAGACACAATACAGCAGGTTTTACAGCTTTGTGGTCATTCTCCAGCGTTTCCTTCATCACTGCTGTTTTATCTAAGATGTTTAACTAACAGATGTGCACACATTTCATTTCTCTGCGGTGAGTTTCACACACCCACACACTTTCGTTTTGACATCTTAGTGAGGACATCTAATTGACATAATGCTTACCTAACCCTTAGCCTAAACCTAACCATAACCTAAACGTAGCCCTGACACTAAAACCACATTTTTAGTCTCAAAACTTCCTTCAAACCCGTGAGGAGAGGCACTTCTGTCCTCACATGTGACTGTTGGTCCACACAAATATAGCAAAATTCCAATTTTTGGTCCCAACAAAGACGTCTAAACGGGTACAAACACACACGAGTAAGAAGGAGGAAGGAGGTAGTTTCCATCTCCTACTTAACTCACTCGTATGGAGGAAACACTGCATCAATCTGATCTGTATGCGAGCTTCTTCACCTTCTTTGCAACCTCCCGTTCTTCATGTGATTTTTCAGGGACTGTTTTGTATTCTTCTTTTTCTGGCATCTTCCTTTTCTCCTTCTTCTCCAGTTTGGGCTTCTGCTCCAGTTTATGCATGGCTATAAGAGCAGCTTTTCTCACAAAACTACTCGTCATATCAAGTTCCTTAAAAAGAGACGAGAAAAAAAATGTAATTGATGAACAGAAAGTGATATAATTTACAGCCAAATCTTATGCGATCATCTTTTCCTGTATTCAGTAAATTGGATTAAAAGAACAGTATCAGGTTAATGGCATTTTACACCATCAGGCATCAATCAGTGGTTCATTTTGAGAATGATATCCACTCTTAAAAGTGCTACCTCTGAGTCGCCTGAGTCGTTCTTGGAGTTGCCGTCTTCATCACTGGAAACGTCGCTACTGTCACTGCTGTCTGTATCTTTGGCTGAGGCCTGCAGTTTAACACTAGTATTGTTATTGGCTCTGTGTTCATCATTAACAGCTTCACCCTCCTCTGCATCATCTTTTCCCTGTAAAGCACAGAAGACAAGTTTGTGAAATAAGAGGACCGTTTCTTTTTTCGAAACGTGTTGCATAAAACAATCATCACCTCCTCGTTTTTTTCAGGGTTCAGCTTGTCCTTCTCCAGCTTCTCGAGACGTTTCCTTTCCTTCTGTTTCTGATCAACAAACACACGCAGTGAACATTACTCACACGAGCTGACATTTATTACCAATCACTTCATATTCAAGAAAGCAGGATTTACCCGTTTCTTAAGCCGCTTCTTCTCAGCTTTGTCTTTCATTTTTTTAGATTCTTCTAATAATCTGGCTTTTCTCTCAGCATCCTAAAGAAGCAGATTTGAATCATTTAGAGTCTGCAGCACAACTTCATATCAAAAAGAAAACGGTAAAACTAAACACTTACGTGCTCCTTTGTCTGAAATCTTAAAGGGGATGGGCAAGAAGAATTACGGGCTGAAGGGTATACAGGCTGATATACAGCGCTGGATGACCTCAGGCGGTTTGCAGGGTATCCATGGAAATCATGACTCCAACTACCGGTAACATAATCATCATTGCCTGGGTCGTCTAGATCGTCATCGTAGTCAATACCTGTGGGAACAACAAGTTTCATACAGTCACACAAATAAAGACCGACACACTCAAATGTGCACAGCAGACATGTTGCACAATATCTCCTTACCAAGAAGGCCACATCTTATTATTCTTTGCATATGAGGACGTCCTTCAAACATCCCTAAAACAGTTCTCTAAACAGGAGGGAGAGAGACAAAGAGATTTGAAAAGTATTCACAAACAGTCACGTACAGTCCTCGCTCGCAGCCTCTCCAGCCTTGAATTCTTACCCACATTCCACCTACATCTGGATCCCAGTATGATAAGTGTGGAGTATTCCCACAGCTGCTGAAAAACTGCACCACTGCCACTACTCAGCATGCCTCTGAGCTCCAGTAAGAATGCTGGCACTGAAAAGCACCATGTCCAAGAGTTTCACTTTCCTTTATCCAGAAGCTCTGAGTCACTGGATCAGCAGGCAAGCCCCTTTCTCTGGTCTTGCACTATAATAAATACACGTGAATGCAACAACAAAGCAGCCTGCATCTAATTTGGGGATGTGGAGCATATTCTCATACTGAATACTATCGTTTATTTTAGTCAGACTTATAGAAGAATCACTATAAGAGCTGTAATGTTGAGCACAAATGCAAATAGAAGGTTGGTGTGATTAAACAAAGCTATAAAGTCTTTTCTCTCCACTTTAACAGCACCAATAAATTACAGTGGAGCAAAGTTTGTCTGGCACAAAAATAAATGTCAAGCGTTACATAATAAGCTGTGCAGTTATCTGATCCACTGGAGTTGTTTGTGGAGCAGCTTTTCGTGTTTGATGTGCTAATCTGTACATCTTGAGTTCCGTGGCAGAAAAAGGAAATCCACAGGCAGGTTATACACGTGGGAGGAAAAGGGGCAACAACATGCCACTTAACGAAGAAATGTCACTAACCCAACAGATACGAAGACGGCACTTTTCCTTAGAATAATCCACGGACTGGTTTAGGATTTGTTATGGAGTCAATATATTATATTCGGAGCAGAAATGTCCAATTAAGACCACTTTGCACGTACAATACGAGATTATTACCTCAAATATCCGCCTCACTGTCACGCAAAAAAGCAAAGCGTGGTTTGTAATTCCTTGTAGACGGATTACTAATATCACTGTTTTCTAAACCATTTCACAGACATCCTGCTCACTGGTAAAACTGTGTTTAGATTTCCGTAAGAAGCAGCTGTGCACGTACAGCGTTTCTCTGAATACAGGATATGTACAGGAAGTGACACGGCGCAGTGTTTACATGTTTCCATTCAGCAAATTAGACTGTGCTGCTTTTACGGCCAACCTGCGAGGAACCCATTGATGATCTTAACACCTTACCCATCCGGTCCCCAGACCCATAAACTCCCCCCACGAAGTAAGAGCCAACACGCGGGGAGCTTTTCCACAAAGCGTAAGCTAACTCGCGCGTAAACTTTAAGGAAGAGAGCATACTTACGAACATATGAGGATCCGGAATCTCTGCAAAAGCAAACAAAAGAACAAAGAGCAATATAAATACAGTCGTTTCAATAACCAGGCTTTGGCTCCTCTCTACACAAACATGACTCCAACAAGCGAGCTAGCTTCGTAGCCACGTTAGCCAACAACTTTTTAAAAGACACAAAAAGCGCTTTCTTACCCTCCTCTTCTCTATAAATCTCCATGTTTACTAATATAAGTCCTGTCACGGCTTTACACACTCTCACGACGCAGTTAATTTCACCCTAAGTTTCATTACTAATGCTAATGTTAGCAGCCTCTAACTTTTGCTGCCAACATACTGGCGCGCTCCCTCTCGATCACTTTCAACATCGCGTGAACGCACACGAGCGCACGGGCGGGACTTGGCTTTTATTGAACGCATGCGCGCCGTCTTCCTGCCCCCTTCCCGGACACATGGATGACCATTTGTTGTTTATTTGTAAATGTAAATGTAGTGGGTCTGTTTCAGTCCTTGAACCTGCAGATGTGTCTGATAGCTCTGCAAAGCCTACTTTGGTATGGAATTTGGTAGGAATTAACAGCATTAGACTGTGTTGTAAATGTTATGTCATTTTAACAATATAGCCAAGTACGCACCGTAGGCAAAAGCATTGGTTCGTCTGCCTTCACACGCATATGAACTTCAGCCGCCATCTTTAGGTTTAATATGATGTAGATCCACAGCTTTTACAGCTTCCAGATCTCATGGAGAGGCTTTCCCCAAGATTCAGGAGTGTGTTTATAGGATTTCTTTTTTTTTTTTTAAACCATTCTTCCAAAAGTGCAAAGTAGGGTTTACATGAGAAGGTCTCCTGTTTTTTCATGCTAACAGTGTTCTCTGGTTGAGGTCAGGACATTGTGCAGGCCAGTCAAGTTTTTCCACACCAAACTCACTCACTGTCTTTATGGACCTTGCTTTGTGCACTGGTGTTCAGTCATGCTGGAACAGAAGGGTCCATCCTCAAACTGTTTCCACAAAGTTGGGGACGTCCAAGATGTCAGTATGCTGAAGCATTAAGAGTTCCTTTCACTGGAATGAAAAACAAACTCACGCCATAATCCCCCCACCACAAAACTTTATTAGTCAGAAAGTATCGTTCTCCTGGCAACCAAATGCAGAGTCATCCATCCGATTGCCAGAAGAGGTCTGCAGTGTTATTTTTTCTTTAAAGAGAGGGAACACTTCCTGCCTCTTCTCATGGTTTTTCTTTAACAATTTAAAGTGCACAGCTGCTTAAGCCTTCTCTGAGGAGCAACAATGTTAGGCTACACATAATACATTGTCTGATATAAAGAAGCCCACCTCATCATAAGATATACACACTAAATACTGCCAGCACAGGGTTAGATAAAAATCTTAAACAGTTTATTTATTAATCAGTTTATTGTTACCATACACACCCGCACCCACCCAGACATTTCTGAATATTTTCCAATAGACAAAAACCTGCAGTTTTAAACAACTACAGGTTAAGCCATTAACAGAAGGAAAAATAATATCAGTATTTTTTTCCATTAAGAAAAAGAGTTTAGCAGGAAATGTTAAAATTGTCAAATGTAATGTTCTACGATGTAATGCATGTGTAATTATGTTCATCACTCAAAGACACACTTCTGTCATGTTTTCTTTCCCAACAAGTGAGCTGCGCGTTCACTGCAGTTTTAGCTCCTTTATAAATCATGAAGCAGCGGTCTTCGATCATGTTATGAAAAAACTGTCTTTGCAAGAGTTAAAAAGTCAAAACCCTGAGTTACAAACTTTTAAAAGTTTATCCGTCCCCACTTTTCAAAGTGGCAGCGACAGAATGTCATGATGGCCAGGACTTACGTGCTGAAAGCAAGTATAACAAACGGCGATCGGTTTCCATCAGTGCTACTCTACAATCCTTCCATGGCGAACAGAAAAGGCAATGAGTCTGCGGTAGGCCGAGATGAGGAGGATGATTGCTCCTGCCACCATGCCGCAGATGAGGCTGAAGGTCCAGCGAGGTCCCAGGTGGGTGTAGACATGGGAGACGAAGACCGGGCCGAGTGTCCGTGCCCCGCTGCCCGACGCCGTCAGCCAGCCCATGTACACACCCTGGTGAAACATTTGAGAAGTATATGGGCGCGTTCAAAATTATTTTAAAGCATCACACATGTTAGTATTTACCTGAGGTTTGGGTCCAAGGATTTTGGAATACAGTGTGTAGGACATCACATTGCAGGCTGGGTATCCCACTCCAATGAGGAAGTCCGCTGAGAAGAACTGAGCTATGTGTATAGCAGGAGTATACTGGCACCAGGTTTGTTCGATGGGACACCCCGTTGGCTCCACAGTACTGTTCGGGGCTGGCACGAGGTCAGGCATCTGAGTCACAAAGGAGTTGTTTTTTATGTCTGTTTGTGAAAGAGGAGGGTAGAAATTAGTTTAAATCTAAACAGATGCTTGGAAAGATGTAACAACTACACACTGAGCTGTCAAGAGTCAAAATGGCAACAACTGGAAACTAATCTGACTACTTAATTCAAACGATCAATACCTGCCCACTGGATTTTAGGATAATGGTTTCCCCATGGGAGAAGAATAAAGAAGCCACAGAAAATAATGACCAAGCCGATTAACAACACAGGCCGATCTCCGAATCTGGAAGGAAATTAACTAAATTCAGGAAAGGCGATTCTTTATTTGATGTAATTTATATGTGCAGTGAGAGGGGTGATACCTAAGAGCAGCCACTTTTACAGCCAGAAACACCAAGATTGATACAAATCCGATGCAGCAGAGAATGATCCCGTTGTACAGCACAGCTTCTTCCCTTGTCCAGGCAAACATGTCCATAGATAGGGGCGTGGTAATTCTGAAGAAAAACACAGAATCACAACAGAGTACAAAAGAGGTTTTAAAGAGAGAGAAAGACTGCCTAGACTGGATATAAAAGACAGGCATAGCTCTGGCTGAGAACTGTCACCATGCTTGCGTTTTGAAACCAGGAAGCTTGTCAATCGCAGAGATAATGTATAGAATGAACTTCATCTCCTTTATATTTTTCTGTTTTATCCTCAGTTACTTTGACACAAAGTTATCTGCTGTGATGCTTACACCTCTGATGAAGTCTCACATGTACTTGTAAATGATCATTATCACAATATTTCTGACTGAGTCAAAATGAAATCAAATCGGGACCTCATGAATCAAAATTGAATAACTAATAGAAATCAGTGGCGATACCCAGCCCTACTTGGAACCAGCTTTTATGTACCATCCGTGAGTCTGACGTCTTTGAAGAAATACATACGTCTCAAAGATAGCAAAGATGAACATGATGATGAAGAACAGGATGTTGGATGTCATGACAGCCACCTGATCGATGCTTTCAACAGTTTCTTCTGATATATCAACTCTCTCTAGAAAACATAAATATATCTTCCATCAGAAACTGTAAAACATGACTCATTTATTTCCATATTCAAAATGTATGATTCCTTTAACATTAGCCATTCAGACTCAGTGCAGTACTGCTTTATGTCACTCTGTATGTTAAATGACTTAAAAATAAATAAATGTTTTAGTACAAATAGTTTTCATTTTTTCTGTAAATTGACTTCAGCAAGTGGTCTTTCCTTGGCATACAGTAAATGCTAAAGAAAAATAGATACACCTTCTGATGTGTAGTTGATAGATTGAATGTGCCTTCCATCTTCATCAACGTGATGCTCTCTGATGGAAAGAATCAAACATTTTAGTTAAAGGGTATATCCACAGTATTTTTTAGTCCATGTAAAATAACGAAATAAACAGTCAAATACTGAAATTTTCCAGAACTATCCTACTGTAAATTTGTAAATTTTTGTAGTAAATTGTAAATATTGTAAAACTTTTCTTCTGTCATTTAATGGTCGGGCATTGTACAGCTACAAGCATTTCACCCCCATGTCATACTGTGTATGGTTGTGTGTGTGTGACAAATAAAATTTGAATTTGAATTTACTGAAGACCGATCCTTTTTTTTTTTTCAAAAAAAAAAAAAATGGTTAAGGAAAAACAACTTCACACGTTAAAGACAAATCAAAAATATTTCAGGATGCAGGAGTATCATTGTCAAGGTCTACGATCACCTATATGGAGGATTTAAAAGGTGCAAGCAACCACTTGAAGGCCAGACTAGACTTTGCCAGCAAACATCTAAAAGAGCACAGCTCTGTAAAAAAATGTTTGTTCAGATAAACCCAAGATTAACTTTTATTAACTTGTATCAAAATGATGGGAAGAGAAAGGTATGGAGCAGGAGAGAAACAGCTCATGATGTGAAGCATACCACATCATCTGTCTAACATGGAGGGGCTAATATTATGGCATAGACACGTATGACTGTCAGTGGTGTTTTGTGACTGCTGATGGAAGCAACAGGGCTGCACTCTGTTTTTTAGGTTATGAAGAGAAACTTGGATCATTTTTTCAGTATGTTCAATAAAAATCAAAAGCACAAATAGTGCTTTAAGACAGAATTTGAAAGAATTGTGAACCTTCACATTTATACGGCATTTAAAAACATTAATTATACATAAACTGACAGATCAATAATACTAAACTCTCAAACAGTCATTTAAATCTTTGACCCTGGTGACCACTAAAGTTCATTTAGGTAGTGCCTCAAAAAACAAAGAAAGAAAAAAAAAGAAAAAGGCCCAGTTGAGGGATGAAGACAGATTTACTACAGTACAGAGATCAAGTTTATGGCAAAACTATAAACAAACAAGAAGTCACATCAAGAATTTGTTCAGTCACCTCAGCAGAATGACGACGAGCAGGATGTTGATGAGGCCGAACACTGCAGCCAGTAACGCTGGGGTGGTGTACATGTTGAGCTTCAGCGCTATGAAGTCCAGTGTGACACCTTCCTCACCAATGAAGGACAGACATGCCTGCAGGGCTGGCATGTACACAGAAAAATAAACAAACCTTAAAACTGATTTTTTCTTCAGCAAACTCACAGCTTTGCTCCCTGTTGTCAAACTTACCTGGCCCGAGGATGAAACCGAGGGCCTGGCAGGCACTCATGTTAGCCATGGCACCGGTCCTCTCGTTCAGTGATGTAGCTCCAGCAACATAGGACCTCACCACAGCTACGTTACCTGACATGGATAGACTGAAACGTGTCATGGATCATCATAAAGGAAACAGATCATTTTGCTTACTAAGGAAATTATATCAAACTTTTAGGTCTATATTTAAATGATCACCTGCTCCGAAGCCCACAAAGACTCTGGACATGAGGATGTGATACTTGTTATAGGTCTTCGGCAGGTATGCGTAGGCATAGTAGATGTTGGCTGCCAAGTTAATGGAGATGGAACACACCAGTGGTTCCCTGCGTGGCCGATGATTGGACCACCAGCCAAAAATGGGTGAGGCCACCATCTGTCCGATGCTGTATGCTGCAACCACCCATCCCAGGAAGCTGGCATCAGTGCTGTCATCAGTCTGTAAGAAATGAATGCTCCACATTAGACCTCATAGGAAACCTAGTACAACATCAAACCCCACTGTTGATCAAAGCCACCACATATTAAACTGAATACATGTTTAGGCAATAATTCCACCGGCTTTGAAGCTGCATGAAGTGGAAGGAAAGTTCACTGGTAGACCACCGTGTTCTGGCTAAAATGTCTCAGTGTAACAGTAAAATCAGAACATGCAGGGTCCTACACATTGTCTAACCATAAGGGGGGCTTATACACATTATTTCACCTCTTCATTGCATACAAGTGTATGTAGAAAGGTAACAACATTTCAGGTTTTCAAATATACTTGGAATCCAGTTTTAGGACACTGAAGTGACATACATGAACATATACTGCTGAAGCGTAGCTTCAAAAGCACAACATGTGGTGCAACTGAAGTATACTGCAACTTAAGCAAGACAGAAGTTGAATTAAACACAATGGAACAAGCAAAAAAAAAACCAAAAAAAACCCAGCAGAAGTTCAAGGAGATAAATGAACTCAGCGGCGGGCATGACAGGCTAACAGAAAACAGTGGATCATCCTATTAAAACACATCATGGGTCATGTAACTGCAGTCTGTTCATGTATATAATGAACAGACTGCAGTTACATTCAAAGCAGTTTAAAGCACTTAATTAAAAATCCAAGCACCTTTGTAAACCTTGAAAACACTACATAAATTCAAGTATTCTCCAGCACCCATATAGGAACCCTGCTTACAAGTGCTTAATCTTTCAGTCATTTGACCAGGGCACTATATCCTAAATTAAATCCCCAACAATCCTCTTTGCATCTTTCACTTCCTCTTTAAACACCCAAGACTGCATTTAAGTAGCAAAAACAAACCACGGAGCTTAGTTTGTATTATTGACATCAGTTGAATCAGGCAACAATCTTCAGCCCGAAAGACACCGTGTCATTCTTACTTACCTTTTGCAAATAGGGCCAAAGTGATGTGATGACAATAGTGAAACCTGAGAGAGAGCACAGATCACATTAATGACACACAAGCTGTTGAAGATGCTCAACATGTTTTTAGGCTAGAAGTCACTGAAGTTATTTCATGTCTCTTCTAATGGCATCACAGGTCGGAAACCACAGTTTTTCCTGTAACAGTGCTGAGATCATTACTTTGAACGTGAGAAAAGTGTTATATTCCCGTGTCCTCACCTACACTACTGAGGAACATAGTGAAGTACATGACTCTGATGGACCTCCACCGACTTCTGTAGTCATCATCCTGCGAGTCATCGCTGCTGACATGGAGTACAGATTATCCATAAAGGATGACATACCAGCAAGACAATGTAACCTATATGAGTAATGTACGAGCCAGCAAGATATATGGCCAAGTGACAGGTCAGCGTCTCCTTTTTATAGGAGCGAGAACACAGTATGATGAAGAAAAACTGGGTTACAGAATAAAGGTGAATAAAGCTGCTGCACCCACCATCTGACTGCAGTTGCGTGTTTTATTTAGCGACTGTAAATAAAGTCTACCTATATTAAGTTGCTTTGTAGCTTAACTCTGTTGCTTACATACGGCAAAACAGACACAACACAAGGCCAGTAAATCCAGTGCTTCTACAACCTGTTGGGTAACAGTGTAGCCATACTCAAGCTTCCTCTCGTTGTTTTTATTTAGGGAGGTGGCTATCTGGACTTACCTGCTCCTCTCATCCCTGAGCAGCGGGGTGGTGTTGTCGGGTTCAGGTTGAGACATCTTTTAACAAAACACTAACTCTGCGATATTATGACTCCACCCGTGGACTTTGAAAAAGCAAAACAGTACTTTTAGGTCGCCATGTAGTCGAGGGTCAGTGAACGACACTTGCTAACTTTCACCTCTCCCATAAAGCTCCGAGTAGCTAGCTAGCTAACGTTAGGGTCAAACATTTGGCCCCTTAAGTCATATGCACGAGTCTAACTGATACCGCAAACCATGATAAACGGTCGTTTTACCAAGAACAAAGCACAGTACGCCACATAAAAACACGCAAAGCTGGACTATGATATCAGTGACAGCTCTAACACGCAAGGCACCCATTATTTAAGCATCGGCTTCCGGTAAATTCTTTCAAAATAAGGCAAATTGAGTCCCAAATAAACTGTGTTCTGCCGAGTTTTTTCTTCAGTACGCTTATCATATCTTATCAAAAACTTAACATGAAATTATTTACATAAACATTAAACACTCTGAGGTGTCTTTCCTTTGTTGTTGCACAGGCTGCGCAGTGTTTTAGACGCTAATTTCGAATAACATCCGTGTTTACTCGACTGTTAGCGCGCACCTTGACGAACCGCGCTCACGTGAAAACTAGCAAACCACCCAAACACAGTCCGAGGGTCACTTGATTGGATCGGCGAGAAGGACGCCGTGCTGCGATTGGTGGATGCAGTTATAGTGCGGGGCTGATACAAAAGTTATTTAAAGGGCAATTAGTTCAGCTTTAATGTAGAAGAATCTGAGCACAATTATTGACTTTTATATGTGAAAAATTAGAGTAGAATAGAATAGAATAAAATAGTCCTTTATTGTAATTGTACATGTACAACAAAATTCTACAGGAATAAAATATAAATATCAAGACGGCATAAATAAATAACAAACAGGAGAAATATGTACAAAACAAGAGGAATATATACAAAACAATAGAAGGACACACATTAGTGAACAGGATGCAACATGCTTGAAAGTATAGCAGAGGACTTGGTCTGAATATAGTTCATGTGTGAGTGACCTGAGTATTAAGGTAGATCAAGGGTTATGACAGATCACCTTTTAATCTACTCGTGGCACTATTAAAGTATTAAATCACATGAGATTTCAAACTGCAGGAAAATCACTGGAGTTATAAGAGGCAGACAACTAGACACACCACGTGTATGCTATTGCTATTTATTGTGGTTTAACCTGTCAAGGACAAAAATGTAAAGAAAATTCTGCATCAAGCCTTGAAATCATAGCTTTCCTACTTTTGATAAGCCTGGATTGGTGGCATGATGGTTAGTGCTGCTGTCTCCCAGTAAGAAGGTCCTCGTTCAAATCCACCATCTGGCACAAATGGTTGTTTGTCTCTATGTGATAGACTGGTCAGCTGTCTGGGGTGTACCCTTCCTTGTAACCTATCACTTCAGGATTAGGCCCCAGCCCCCCTGCAACCAGGATAAAAATAGGAGGACGGTAGTTGTTGTAGATCCATTCACTTTTTATGGTAACCAGACTCTAGACTTTGTTGAACATTATGTAATATTAAGACAACATGTAGTATTTAAGTGACCAAGTAGTATTGGGCTAAAAGTTATTGAATAGTGTTGAAATAAAATGACAAAATTGTGAAGGATTAAAATATTCCAAGAGCTCAACTTACTTCATCTAAACATGTTTCAATCGCATTTTATGAACCTCTAAAAAGAATGGGTGTGTTTTTCTTATAATTTAAAGGTTTACTGAATTACATATAAAAACATAAACACAGAACAAGGCAGTTCAAATACACTGACATAGAGTACGGTGTGCAAAGAAATGTGTACAGTAAGTTACTGGGTAATATACATTTGCCAAACATCTAGTGCACAGTCTCAAGATCAATACAGGTTATGTTTCCACTTTGTCTTTGGATTTGAACCCACATAAACTGTCCCAGTGGTCTTTCCTTTTCATTTTTATAGTTAAGCCTTATTAACATCCTCTCACATGCAGCAACAGTGTTCATCATCTGTCCAGAATGGGACTATGCTATATATTTTACAGAATTCAAGTGCAATAACTCAATTCTAACAGCCTATTGCAAAACCTTTGAACTCGTAGCTTATTAATTAAATAATGCTAAGCAAATTATTTAAATTAGTATAAAATAACTCTTATTTAGAACAGTGTTTTGAGTGTGTGCAGGACAAATGTTTTTAAAATTTTCTTGGTTTTAGTCAAAGGTGTCTTTTCTTCTTCACTACATCCACACACCTCCTCTGGTCTTTCTCTGTTTCTCCACAAGGACCTCCTGTTACACAGTTAAAGTCGTTGCATCGTCTGCTCTGCCACCTCCAGCTCAGCCTCCAGTCGTTTTGTCAGTGTCACTGTCTCCAACCCGTACATCACCTCGTTACCACCTTATATACAGTTGGGTGTCTGTTATTGTCATTTTTTAAATTTTTCTGTTTTTACTTTAGAGAATAAATACTGTACATCATGATGTATCATCAAAACTGATTTAAATATCAATGATGAATGTCATTATCTTGCTAACAGAGTTAGCTTATGAAAACCTCCCCAGTGCCAATAAATATTACACCGCAGTAATTAAGTAATAAACAACAAAACAGTTTTTAACTACTGACGTCTGTTTTTAGTTTAAAAATTTTTTTTATATTTTTTTTTGCAAAAAATAAATTTTTTGGCTAATTAACACAAACTTTCTCTTTTATAATTACAGGACAGTCTGGGGACTGATCAGAATCTTTTCCTGTAATTTTACACATTTGTTTCTTAAAATTTAACAGTCAGATTCAAACTGAAAGTTTTTTCCATTTACTATAGCAGTTTCTCTATCTCATGGAAAATCTAGTACATAATGCTGGAACTGCACTTCTTTTTCTCATATTGTGATAAGTTTCAGTCATCGGCGTAACTTTGTGCTGAACATTGGGGGTGTCAAGATCTCTGTCTAAATAAATAAATAAATATATTTGGGTAAATTTCCAGATGATTAAACATGCAACTAATTTGCTGGTAATAACCTGAAACGAGTAAAGGAAACCCCCCTGGAAATTACGCCCCTAGTTTGAGTGGTCTATCATTGCCGATATCATTACAATACTGATACTTTTAGCTAATGAACACCAGCTTATGTAGGGGAGATCCGTGTGTCATAATAACTTATGAGATGAATGATCAATTTGCAAGCTCTGATTTTTCATTTTAATCACCACTAAATCACTGTGAGTTTTATTTTCCACAATAATTAGTTAACACAACAAAACACACCTTTCAGCTTTTCATTAATTTTGAAACTGGGACTTTTATAAATAAAACAGACAAAACGTTCAGACATTTTTATTTTTTCATTTCAAATAAATAAATAAATAAATAAATATCTGACACAATTCAGAGGGCTACATACCGAACAGAGGATAGAAACAAAGTATCGATCCTATCTTGCTGGTAGGCTTCTGACACCAATACCAGCTGCGATGGGCTCAGACGGAAGAGTTCCTCCCTCTCAGACGAAAGTGAAAGTGAAAGTAACTGACTAGAAAGCAGCAAGCTATCGAGCTCGGGGAATAAACTGCAGAGAAAGAAAAGACAAAGTGGACTCCTTGGGTTGTTGTTTTATCTCGTCCCACTGCGGTCAAGTGAGCCCTCACTATCTCACACTATGTGACAGAGATTTCTCCGTGGAGCTACAAAAACACGATGTGTAGGTCGACAATGATCACTTGTCTTGTTGTTTAGCAGCATGGTAATTGTCAACTAACCCTGGGCCCTCTTTCTGCCGTCAACATCAAACTTTGGTTTCTTAAGCGTTGCTGGATTTGAGTTATGGTGAAGAAATTATAACGTCTCCTTAAAATTTTCCGTCACCTCCCTTTTCACAGGTCGACGGGTGCCAGGTTTGAGTCTCCTGACGCTGTTTATATCTTCCTGGACTGCTGCTCCCAGTAAGTCTCACACACATTCATTCTGCTATTTATCATCAATCTCACTGTTTCATTCTGCTTGTACCTTTAATGTTTCTGATTTCTTCACATTCAGCCACATGTTGTTATTACTTCTTTCGCTAAACCTCGAAACTTTGCTGATACCAAAAATTGACTTCGTTATAATAAGATTTATCTTTCTGTGTTTAACCATCTTTT